CAGTGCTGAGGAAAGTTTGGAGGGCTTCTGTGCAGGGGTTTGACCTGGCTTGCATGAGCATATCGACCCCAATGAGGATATTTCTTTCAGTAACACGATCTCTGATGCTTGGAATATCAAGTTCTTTCCGCATATTTAAAATTCTGGCAGTACGAGGGCATCCTAGGATGATCCTTATTGCTTCGTTCTGCAGTTTTTCCAGCCCTTCAGGCTTCCAGTCAGACACAAGAACAAGTAATTGCCCAGCATAATCAACCAATAATCTAATACAAACACGATACATCATTTTCACAATTTTAACATTAGCACCGTACCTGGGGGGAAAGCTTGCCACAACTCTAAGTGCTCTCAGCCTTTGTATTGACCGTGTGAAGCGAGAGCTTTTGCCACCAGGCCACTGGGTAATGAGGTAAAAAGTGGTGATTTAACACCAACGAGTATGTAAGACATAAGGTAACTAGGATATTTTATTAAGATATATCGTTAATGAGTGCCTATACCAATCTAGTCATTCTTATGTTATGATCCAGGTAATCGTATTTTACCTGTAAAGGAGGGAAGAGGTACTTGAATGCTGGTGAAGAATTCTTTACGTAGGAGATATTGATCCAGGAAATTGGACCAAATATAAGAAATCACTAATGGTTTCGTATACAAAATCTTTCTACAGAAGGTGCTGGAGATGGGGCGTGAGCGTGGCATAGATGCAGCTTGTGTGCAGGCGATCAACACCTTGTCTGCCAGGATCTACACCCGTCTGGGTTTTGAAACTGTGAAGTCTCTGGACCTGTCAACCATCACTGATGAGTTGGGCCTTGACCTCTCCCTCATACCTCAGCAGGAAACTACCATCAAACTTATGCTCAAAAGATAGATTGGCTTTGTAGGAAGTTCTGTACTACTGATCATATCTTTATTTCTACAAGTACATGTACTAGGTATACAGACCTTAGCTGACATCACTGACATAATACTGCATAGAAAGTCGCTTTTTATGCAGAGCATTTTGGACAAATTAGGTCAGTTTTGTCCCAGGATGCGACCCACGCCAGTCGACTAACACCCAAGTACCCATTTTACTGACGGGGAAAATAGACAACCAATGTAAGGAAACGTGCCCAATGTTTCTACCCTCACCGGGAATCGAGCCCTGACCCTCGCCCTGTGAAGGGAGAGTTTTAGCCACCAGGTCATGGGGCACGGGGCACGGGGGGCTTTAAGCTTATGCTTACCTTCCAGTGTGGTCTTTGACCACCAGGTCTGTGTTGTCCAGAGAATGGGAAATGAAAAGTAATCAAAAGTAATGCAAGGGACGATAGGATAGCAGTAATTCCCTGAAACAAGAACTGGCAACATGTGAGATGCCCGCTCTGGCAAACACTGTTGACGCAGATAACAACAGACTCAAGTCCTGTTCTCACAAGCACCTCTATGATAGTACATTTCTTTTCTATATAGACAGACAATGGTTATAAATGACCATAATTTTTAAAGGGGTGGACCGGTAAGCCAGCGGAAGGCCTCGGTCAGATGACCAAAAGCTCCAAAGGCGGGTCATCATCTGACTAAAACCCGCGTCAGGAAACATTTGTCCTGTTTCCTGACGAACCTTACCTAACCTAACCTGGTACATTTCTTTAGAGAGGGTTAACTGACCTGCAGGAAATTCCTGCCTCCATACACAAACTAAAACAGACTTACGTGTAGATGAATGGTTCAGAGAACCGACAAGTTGATAAATTAGACACATGTGCAACACTTGGGTATCTTTATTGAAGAAACATTTAGCCACACAGTGACTTCATCAGTCCATACAGAGGAGAATGGTGAAGAACAGGAGTTTGAGGTAATCAGTCCTTCAGCCTTGAGTCGATATAGTCAGTCCATCAATCTTCTTCGCACATATGCTGTATTCTTTTCAAGATTGATTGATTACATCGACTCAAGGCTGAGAGACTGATTACCTCAAACTCCTCCTGTTCTTCACCATTCTCCTTTGTATGGACTGATGAAGCCACTATGTGGCGAAACGTTTCCTCAATAAAGATACCCAAGTGTTGCACATGTGCCTAATTTTACAGACATACTTGTATTGTGGAGTCTATCCTAGCTAGAAATCCCAGACTAACTAAACTTCTAATGACTTTCTCTCTCTCTCTCTCTCTCTCTCTCTCTCTCTCCTCTCTCTCTCTCTCTCTCTCTCTCTCTCTCTCTCTCTCTCTCTCTCCTCTCTCTCTCTCTCTCTCTCTCTCTCTATCTCTCTTCTCTCTCTCTCCTCTCTCTCTCTCTCTCATCTCTCTCTCTCTCTCTCTCTCTCTTTCTATCTATCTATCTATCTCTCTCTCTCTCTCTCTCTCTCTCTCTCTCTCTCTCTCTATCTCTCTCTCTCTCTCTCTCTCTCTCTCTCTCTCTCTTCTCTCTCTCTCTCTCTCTCTCTCTCTCTCTCTCTCTCTCTCTCTCTCTCTCTCTCTCTCTCTCTCTCTCTCTCTCTCTCTCTCTCTCTCTCTCTCTCTCTCTCTCTCTCTCTCTCTCTCTCTCTCTCTCTCTCTCTCTCTATCTCTCTCTCTTCTCTCTCTCCTCTTCTCTCTCTCTCCTCTCTCTCTCTCTCTCTCTCTTCTCTCTCTCTATCTATCTATCTCTCTCGTAGATGCCACGTGCACAGAACAGAAGAATGCTTTCTGTAAGCAGTTAGAATGTGTTCAGTGATCTCAGCACATATAAGAGTCCCTATATTCCCTGGGGCTTCCCTAATATTTTATGTTCATAAAAATAATTATTATTATAATCATGGTGAAGTGCTAAACCAGTAGGGATTATACAGCGCTTGTAGGGAGGGGGATGATGGAAGGTATTCAAATCAAATCAAATCAAGTTTATTCTCTATAAGGGTTACAATGTGGGGTTTACAGGATTTGGATATTGTGTGGTTTACATGTTTTAAAATACTAATTACAGAGGGGGCCACTAGGACACCTAGCATGGCTAGGCATTTCGGGCAGACTTAGATTAATTCTTAACACTAAATCCTTACTGATTATGGTATTAAGGCTAGGTGACTACATTATCATTTGTGAGTTTAGCAATGTGAATGCTTTTGTTTTAGCACAATACAAAGTGTCTGTATTGGAGTATAATAGGCAAACTTATGACTAGTTAGGATTTATTATTTTAAGACTAAGATTAGTATTTCTGTGTTTATAGTCAGTGGGTGAGTGAGTGTAATTGTGAACCACCAGGTGGTTATCATGTTAGTTGTCGGGGTGTATCAGGGAGATAAGACGTTTTCTAACGGTAGTTTTGAAAGTGATGAATGTGTCTGCAGTTCTCGAGTTTTCAGGTAGGGTGTTCCAGATTTTAGGCTCTTTGACACACATTGAATTTTTGTAAAGGTTTAGTCGAACACGGGGAATGTCATAGAGATGTTTGTGTCTGGTGTTATGCCTGTGGGTCCTGTCACAACTATCAAGAAAGCGTTTTAGGTCAAGGTTAATATTGGAATTTAAGGTCCTGTAGATATAGATTGCACAGTAGTAAGTGTGGATGTTCTGAACAGGGATTAAGTTTAGATCTATGAAGAGTGGGGGGGGGGTGTTGCCAGGGATGGGATTTAGTGATTATGCTTACTGTGGCTTTTTGTTGGGTTGTTATTGGCTTTAGGTGTGTTGCTGCAGTTGAACCCCGAGCACAGATAGCATTCAGGGAACTGGAGCACTGATTCAATTACCTAGATCAAGAGCCCATCACCGGCGTCAAGGAACCTTCCTTGAGAGGATGTTCACAGACAGATCACTAGCTTTTGGCCTAACATTCAAAGATATTTACTCAGCAATCTTGGCTGCTAGTTGCCTTAGTGTGGGCATATGGCCTGTCCATAACCTGTAACTAACTTACCCTGTGTTACACAAAATAGTGCCAACTGGCTATTACTAAGTTGAAAACAGGAGATTCTGACGATGTTAGCCTGGTGAAGACACCGGGTGTTACACTGCAGGGATTCCTCTCCTTTTTCGTTGGTCGCCGGGATAAATATTTTGTGGACCGTGTGTAGACGAACTCAACTCTGTACTCTGCAGTATCTCTGACCAGAAGAACGAGTTATTAAGTCTCCCCACGACCACTTCACTAAAATATTTACATAAGAGCCCGACGGTGGGGATTTGTACCAGTAAATTTCCTCAAAAACCTTCCAGTGGCACGAAGAACTCTTCCTGTGACGAGTTGGGCTCCCACTGGTATGTCGTATTTTTATCAGGATGTATTATCAATATGTTTGTTCTAAATAAAAAATATTCTTCATGACTTCTAACTCTTCTTGAGACCTTATTATTATTATTGTTCTTGTTCAGTTGTTTTTGTTGCATATATCTTTGGCATAAAATGAGACTAAAATACAGCACAGAAGCTCGATATGTCTGCAAAGTTTTTCGAAATCGTCTTTTAGACCAAGTAAAAGGTCGCCAGATTGATTCTGACCATTCCCTGGGAGGCAACGTTTTTGGCTCAGTGTACGTGGTTCGATCCCCTGCAAGAGTGGAAATAGAGATCTGAGCAAAGTTCAGATCTGTGCAACACAATTGTCTTCAAACATTTGTTAAGTTATACCATGAATTAAGGAAAGATCCTGGACTTCACCTTACGAAAGCAGACAAAGCAAACGTGATAGTAATTATGGACAAGGTAGATTATAGACATCCCATACCCATGGTGTGTGTGGTAGTCACCCTATACCCATGCTGTGGGTGGTAGTCACCCTATACCCATGGTGTGTGTGGTAGTCACCCTATACCCATGCTGTGGGTGGTAGTCACCCTATACCCATGGTGTGTGGTAGTCACCCTATACCCATGGTGTGTGTGGTAGTCACCCAGTACCCATGGTGTGTGTGGTAGTCACCCTATACCCATGGTGTGTGTGGTAGTCATCCTATACCCATGGTGTGTGTGGTAGTCACCCTATACCCATGGTGTGGGTGGTAGTCACCCTATACCCATGGTGGGGGTGGTAGTCACCCTATACCCATGGTGTGGGTGGTAGTCACCCTATACCCATGGTGTGGGCGGTAGTCACCCTATACCCATGGTGTGGGTGGTAGTCACCCTATACCTATGGTGTGGGTGGTAGTCACCCTATACCCATGGTGTGGGTGGTAGCCACCCTATACCCATGGTGTGGGTGGTAGTCACCCTGCACCCATGGTGTGGGTGGTAGTCACCCTATACCCATGGTGTGGGTGGTAATCACCCTGCACCCATGGTGTGGGTGGTAGTCACCCTATACCCATGGTGTGGGGGGTAGTCACCCTGCACCCATGGTGTGGGTGGTAGTCACCCTATACCCATGGTGTGGGTGGTAGTCACCCTGCACCCATTGTGTGGGTGGTAGTCACCCTATACCCATGGTGTGGGGGGTAGTCACCCTGCACCCATGGTGTAGGTGGTAGTCACCCTATACCCATGGTGTGGGTGGTAGTCACCCTGCACCCATGGTGTGGGTGGTAGTCACCCTATACCCATGGTGTGGGTGGTAGTCACCCTGCACCCATGGTGTGGGTCGTAGTCACCCTATATGTTATTGCTGTTCTTGTTGCTGAACAGCGGTTTACTGCCGATGAAGGTAGCGTAGGTAGCAATGATACGGCCGTGGACTAGTTTGGCTATAATTGGATAGGAGTACACAACGGGCAGTGTGAGGGAGTGAGTTAGTTTAATATGTTTATTATGCACCCCATACCCATCCTGTGGGCGGTAGTCAAAAGATTACAGAGGGCGTGACCGCAAGCCAGTCCGTGGAGGGGAAGCAGTTGTGGCTATCAATTCGGTCGGCCGGGGAGTGAGGGCGAATGGGCCCAGCCTCCCACTGACCTGGGTGAGCCTACAGAGGGCAGCACTTAAATGCCGCGAAATATGAACTAGTCAGAACAGACGGCTAGGCTGTGTGTTCTGACAGTACAGGCTGTCTACATATACCCATGGTGTGGGTGGTAGTCACCCTATACCCATGGTGTGGGTGGTAGTCACCCTGTACCCATGGTGTGGGTGGTAGTCACCCCATACCCATGGTGTGGGTGGTAGTCACCCCATACCCATGGTGTGGGTGGTAGTCATCCTATACCCATGGTGTGGGTGGTAGCCACCCCATACCCATGGTGTGGGTGGTAGTCACCCTGTACCCATGGTGTGGGTGGTAGTCACCCCATACCCATGGTGTAGGTGGTAGTGACCCCATACCCATGGTGTGTGTGGTAGTCACCCTATACCCATGGTGTGTGTGGTAGTCACCCTATACCCATGGTGTGTGTGGTAGTCACCCTATACCCATGGTGTGTGTGGTAGTCACCCTATACCCATGGTGCGTGTGGTAGTCACCCTGTACCCATGGTGTGTGTGGTAGTCACCCCATACCCATGGTGTGTGTGGTAGTCACCCCATACACATGGTGTGTGTGGTAGTCACCCCATACCCATGGTGTGTGGTATTCACCCCATACCCATGGTGTGTGTGGTAGTCACCCCATACCCATTGTGTGGGTGGTAGTCACCCTATACCCATGGTGTGGGTGGTAGTCACCCTGTACCCATGGTGTGGGTGGTAGTCACCCTATACCCATGGTGTAGGTGGTAGTCACTCTATACCCATGGTGTAGGTGGTAGCCACCCCATACCCATGGTGTGGGTGGTAGTCACCCCATACCCATGGTGTAGGTGGTAGTCACCCTATACCCATGGTGTGGGTGGTAGTCACCCTATACCCATGGTGTGGGTGGTAGTCACCCTATACCCATGGTGTGAGTGGTAGTCACCCCATACCCATGGTGTGGGTGGTAGTCACCCTATACCCATGGTGTGGGTGGTAGTCACCCTATACCCATGGTGTGGGTGGTAGTCACCCTATACCCATGGTGTGGGTGGTAGTCACCCCATACACATGGTGTGTGTGGTAGTCACCCCATACCCATGGTGTATGTGGTAGTCACCCCATACCCATGGTGTGTGTGGTAGTCACCCCATACCCATGGTGTGGGTGGTAGTCACCCTATACCCATGGTGTGGGTGGTAGTCACCCAGTTCCCATGGTGTGGGTGGTAGTCACCCTATACCCATGGTGTAGGTGGTAGTCACCCTATACCCATGGTGTAGGTGGTAGTCACCCCATACCCATGGTGTGGGTGGTAGTCA